AGATGAGAACTAAAAGTCAAGTAGAAAAAGTGCTTTTTGACTAGACAGACAATCTGTTCGGTGCTCTTCGAGTCCTTTCGAAAGGACCCGGAAGCGGGTAACAGTTGGGCTGACTTGATGTCGAACTGGGACTTGGAGATCAGACCGCTCAGTGAGAGCAAAACAGTGGAGCCTTACCTACGCATAGAGGTAAACAAACAAAGAGGGTACCACACACATCCCCTCACTTACTTTGACCGTCGTCTCAGCTCCACTCCCGCGTCAGCCACCACCCACCAACCATGCGTGCAACTAAAATAGCAACTGAGCGCAACGTCGACGATCACTGTTGGCATTGCCACTGGATCTGGAGAGTCATCTACTTTGGAAATGTCAGCCATTTCACATCTCATTTGTTAGTGGGAGGGTTGCTAGTCTGACAACAAAGTAGTTTAATAAAAGGAGGACTTCTAAAATGATTTGGTGGGAAACAAAGTTGTCTTTTGTCCCCCTTATCACTTTTCTCCCTCATTTCTGCCCAGCCATGTCTGCCCGAGTTCCATTTAGTTAGTAGAAGAGTTATCAAATGTCACTCGGTTGACATCGTCATAATATATGCACCTACGGGCAGTGTCGCCTTAGATATTCATAATATTTTCGGAGAACACGCAGCTGAGTTGGTTGCCAAGTTACGAGGCCATCGCAACCTCTTACACCCATGACACACAACCCTCTTCTATTCATAAGTTAAAATCAAGCTACCTGGTGTTAAGCGAATGGTTCAGCCCTCTCTGGCATCGGCGAAAATGAAGGGTGTGAAATCTAATGCACTGCTGGGGATCGGAAGAGCGGAGAACTGGTGTGATGCAGAGGCCAATGCACCAAGCCAAACCACGACAAAAGACTTAATAAGGAATCCATAACGTCGGCTTTATCTCATGGTTCCTCTGAATTTTTTTTGTACAAAGTACGGGAATTCTTGTGACGTGTATGTTCCAATCTGGAGAAAGTTGCAAAATATTATACTACTTAAAACTTATATAAGCGACATTTTAAGAAAACATGTTTTAAAAAGTGAACCTCGGGCATTTTAAATCCAACTAGGCTACTGCTAAAGTTTATTAATTCTTGCAAATAAAAGCCTTTGGTAAAAAATCCACTGGCGGTCTGTAATACTGAGGTTCAGCCATACTCTTTGAAATCCCTTTAACTACTCACAGAGGTAAAAAGTAATTGCCTACATAACTTTTAGTGTTAAACGCTCCATTTCCGATTCTGTATAATTCCACGGTTTAGTGTTTTTAATTAAATATTCAGGAATAAATGCACCAATTACGGTTCTGTGGATAGTTTGTGGAAGTTTTGACTTTAGCAAACCACTCTCTACATCCGAGCATTCAATTTTTGTCAAAGCAAATGAACACCACGTGAAATAACTGGAATTGCAGTAGTTTGCTGCCTTGTTTTTGTGGTTTCACAAAACAAAAAATTCTTCAAACAAGTGTGAATTACAAATGGAGCTGGAGAACTGGTAAATCCTCCTGGAAGCCATTAAAAGTTTAATAGTTTTGTCACATGAATCAGTTGGTTTATTTCCTTTTTGCTTTAAGGAGCTGTGGCACCAGGTGATGGTCTTCACCATCGTTGCTGTCTGCTTGACCATTTTGGCGTTCGGAGTCTGTCTAGCTGCCGGTTGCTACGTGGTCAGGCTGAAGGCGAAGGCAGCTCTCTTAAGGTAAACCATTCCTCCTACCATGTTTTCCATGCTTTGCAATCATTATTACCAAGAATGGAGATTTTCCTAGCTTGGATAACTGTTATGGTATTGTGCAACACATTGGATAAAAGTTTAAAAGCTCTCAAAGTGTTTTATAATGCTTTCCGACTAGGCGTCATCAGGTTAGTCACTTTGGAGACATGCAATTTGTGGACGGTGGTTGTCTGAACAGCGCTGGCACCGTTGGACCTGGGAGTGTTGGTGGCGTAAGCGGTGGAGGAGGCACGGGTATCCCAGTCTACCTGCAGCGACTCTCATCGCTTGACTACAACACCCAAAGCCTTCAACGACCTCCATCTGTACGCAGTTTTGCGCTCTCCAGACCACCTACTACTTCTAGCATTCCCCCGGACACCGCTCAAACTCCCACCGAGCAGCCTTTTGTCTTCTCAAATGGATTCAATCGTCATGCTGAAACTCTGGGATGGCCTCCGGTTTACCGCAGTCCTACAAAGGCATGGGGTGATTTCAGCTTTGATACATTCGCACGAGCTCCTCCATCCACCACCGCAGCCGGTGGTATGGACCTAAGTGCCCATGCAGATGCACTGCCCACTGTAAATTCACCAGAAGCATACGCTTGTCGTCATGACACCTATGGGTACCTGTCAGAATTGCACAACCATCTTACTGAGAACTTGACAACCTCAGCACCCGTGATGAATAATATGCTGACGTTGAGGAGTTCGTCAATCCTAAGTCCCACGTCTTGTCAACAGCCATCAAAGAGTCCTACTGAGGTGGAAGATAGTACGATGGATATGCGGAAGAATGACTTCCAAATGGCACCTGCCTCTCCGCCCAGTGAATTTGCTGACCTTGTAATCAAGTGATTATTGAACCTCTCCCCACTTGGGCCAACTTGCCCGTCATCCCTCTTATTTTGTATTATTATCTACACTCCTCTACTATTGCTAACATTGAGTAGTTGTGTGCCTGAATGGGACGAGGAGTAAGTAATTGGGTGTGAAAATTGTACAGCTGAATGGTTTATAGTTGAGCCAATGAAAGGTTTCGGCTTCCCTAGAATAGAATGCGTACCTATGAGAAAAAAATATTCAGCTGATTAGAAGGACATGTATACATTTCCCGGCCACTCTGAAAGGATACCTCCTTTCGTTTCTTAAACTTCCGTTTGTAAATCGCCTAATCTGAGTTTTGGAATTTAAATGCCTAACAAGAAAGATATTCATAGAACAGGTAAAAATCAAGGGGAATTTGGGATTATTTTCGGGGATACGGCATTAAGCATCAAACTAATCTCATCGCTTGCATGAGCGATTGCACTAAGCTGTATGATGTTGCCTCTTTCAAAGATGTGCATTCAAATTTAGGAATTGGCGATTTAGAAGAGTCAGCACCCGCAATCTTTCATCAAAGGGTATCC